ATTTCGATTCGGAACGAAATGAATCGCACATGTCTGGTTGACAGTCACACCTGTGAAAAAGTGACAGTATGCACCCCAGGCAGTATGTAGACACCCTTAGGCCCCTGGATCCTTCAGACAGACGGAACGGACTATGCATTACTGAATGAGAAAATTGCTGCCACATAGTTACCAGCATTTTACCTGAATTTCCTGTTTACAGTTTGAAATAGACTGCCTTACAAACACTGTTGATTACTACTGCTGCAGCTCTACTTTTAATGTGCATCTAATGCACCTTTTTTTTTAGCATTGTAGCGCACCTGCTTTAAATGCATTTCGCTTCATGCAGATTTTCTCTTCCTTAAACACAAAATTAGTTCCAAAGTAAACTAAGGCCTATGTACACAGGTCCTTATTCAGCAGCCCGCATTTTGGATATAACAAATACTAAAGCTGGCCATACACGCATCGAACTTCCACTGATTCCTATTGAATTGGCCAAAATTCAATCCATAGGTGACCATTCTGGCACTACCTGGTTCCACCAAAGTTTGTTTTTTAATCAACTTTTTTGAAGGAGCCAGCTGGAAAATTGCCAGCAGAACAATGACTGCAGCCAATCAGCTGTGGGCAACAGCTCTCACAATACTATATCCAGCAAGAGAGATTCCCCCTCGGAAATCAAGTGTTCAGTGCACTTTAATCCTTTGATTTATTGACTTTGACATATTGTTGTATAGAAGAAGCCTCTGTTTAAAGCTATCCAGTCATTAATTCTAAACCCCTCAAACAGCCATACTTATTTAAAATAAAACTGTCAATACTTGCTTTTCCCATTACCTGCACCTGTGCAAAGCTGCTCCATTAACAAGATATGTGAAGTCCTCTGGAAAACCAACACTTGCAGGAGTGTCGATCTCCTGGGTCCCCCACAGTGCTCAGTGGTTCCCCCTTCTGACCTCCACATCATTACTTTGCCCTGTATGGAGCTCAGCAGAAGGAACCGTGACAGCTACCGGGAACCCAGGAGAGCAACACTCCCAGAAGTATCGGTTTCCAAGCAGATTTCGCCTGAGGATTTATTATTAACGGAGCAGCATTTTGGCAGCAAGAACAACAGAAAGGGTAAGTATTGACCGTCTTCCTTTACCGGTATAGCTGTTTAGGGGGTTTAAATTAAATGACCAGCATTTTTCCACCATATGCTTAGTTTGCATCCTTCAGGTTTTGAGCAATAGTCAGGCTAAAGTGCTAGCTAGGCTCAACAGTAGGCTTTTCCTCCATGGCTACTGTCCTGCACTCTGACTGTAGCAGCTTCTCTCATTGCTGAGCTTCAGATAGTAGAAGAAAAACTCAAGTAGCAGATGCATTACAACAATGCCATTTATAATTAATTTAGGAATTTACTGAGCTCCGTTCCCATAGCAGAAAACCACATGACATTACGACAATATCTCATACTACGCACCACTGTGTAGACTGAAATGAACACATGCAATGCAAATCCATAATAACTGCTTGTAGCTGAGCAGAAATCAATACACTTTCTGCAATATAAATCCATTGGTGACTACTGTGTACGCTTTCATCTAACTTTCAACAATTTACTCTGGAACAAGTTTGTCTTTGGAAATGACCCTTGTTTTAAAGTATAATTAAACCCTTGCGTTTTTTTGCATATAGCTACTGCTAGCAAGCAGCAGATATATGCAAAAACATTAAAAACAATTATAAAGTTACCAAAACGGTTAAAACTTACCCGTGTGTCCGCCGTGCGCTCCCTTCCGAAGTTCTGAATATTCTCGGGCGGCCGCAAAGGATCATGAGGTGGGTGCATGCGCAGTAGAAATCTTTGGTCAGGAGAAGAGGCGAGACACAGGGTAAGTCAATGCAGGCACCGTGCACCCACACAGGCAGTGTGGGACACAGCAGTCAGCGCTGGATCAGAGACTGGCACCAGCGCTAGAGGGACTCCTGAAAACTACTGGAAAACACTTTGTGCCTATTTTTTTTTCATTTGCTACTGATGGTCTTTTGTCTCCTTATATATCACTAGTAAACGTGTGCCTGTTGCAGACAGGGTAAATAGGGTGGTAGTTGTACAGGATGCTAAGAAATACCAGTGGGGACACATGCAGTGTACTATTTCTCAGAAGACTATATATACTATATTGGCAATATAGTGTATATATATGTATATATACTATATTGTCAAAAGTATTGGGACGCCTGCCTTTACACGTACATGAACTTTAGTGGCATTCCAGTCTTAGTCCGTAGGGTTCAATATTGAGTTGGCCCACCCTTTGCAGCTATAACAGCTTCAACTCTTCTGGGAAGGTGTCCACAAGGTTTAGGAGTGTGTCTGTGGGAATGTTTGGCCATTCTTCCAGAAGCACATTTGAGAGGTCAGGTACTGATGTTGAACGAGGAGGCCTGGTTCGCAGTCTCTGCTCTAATTCATCCCAAAAGAGTTCTGTCGGGTTGAGGTCAGAACTCTGTGCAGGCCAGTCAAGTTCATCCACCCCAAACTCGCTCATCCCTGTCTTTATTGGAACAGGAAGGGGCCATCCCCAAACTGTTCCCACATAGTTGGGAGCATGAAATTGTTCAAAATGTCTTGGTATGCTGATGCCTTAAGAGTCCCCTTCACTGGAACTAAAGGGCACAGTGCGACTTGTGCGCACTGTGCCCTTCAGCATGCGCTGACCTCGCTCTGTCATTGTAGGTGGCCTACCACTTCGTGGCTGAGTTGCTGTTGTTTCCAGTTGCTTCCACTTTGTTATAATACCACTAACAGTTGACCGTGGAATATTTATGAGTAGGGATGCACCAATACCACTTTTTTAAGACCGAGTACGAGTACCGATATTTTTGATCAAGTACTCACAGATACCAATTACCGATACTTTTTCTTAAAGGGACAGGTCACATTTTTTCTAAAGCAATACAAACTAATGCTTTAAGGTCACTTTCTTAATCTTATGATTAATGAGATGACGAGAGAGCATGACGCCGGCTTCCCAGCCAATCAGAATGCCGGGCGCTGCGTCATTACACTGCGCCCGGCTTCCGGATTTGCTAGCTTCCTGACCAATCAGGAAGCCGGGCAGCACGTCATTGCACGCTACCCGGCTTTCTGATTGGCCGGGAAGTCTGCTCCATGCTCTCTCATCACAAGTGACGAGAGAGCATGGAGCCGCTTCCTGGCCAATCAGGAAACCGGGCAGTGTGTAATGATGCACTGCCCGGCTTCCTGATACAGGAAGTACTCGTGCGAGGTATCGGAGCATTTGGGTGAGTACTCATTAGAGAGAGAGAGAGAGTTTGACTCAGCTGATCCAATATCTGGATCAGCCTAGCCGAACCTCCGGCAGGCTACTAGTTTCTGTTTGGCCTATTCTCATAGAGCCCAAACAGCAGTGAGTGAATAGCCAATATTCCGGAGGGCTTGGCAGCGAAAGGGTTAAAGCTCTATTGAATCAATCTCTCTCTCTCGCTCTCTCTCTCTGTGTCTCTCTCTCGTACTCCTGACTTGTACTTCTGACAATGCGCTGATCCAGGCACTTTAAATAGATTCAGCTGCGGTAAGGTCTTGTGTTTGCTTGGGACCTCCCAGCAGCCTTGTGAAGAAGTTTACAGCGCTGGTTTGGCAACACATCTGTTGCTCCTTCCCGCACCTTTTCAGACCCTGAAAAGCCCTAGTAAGACACCGTACAGCCTCCTGGGACCCCGCACAGCCCTTGTCAGACCCTGCACAGCCTCTTGAGATGTTGCATAACCCTAGTGAGCAACACAGAGTATGTAGCTTCATATTATTCTGCATTGCTGTATAATGTATTGCTGGGGTTTGTAGTCCTCTATAGCTGATGGTATTCTGCATTGCTGTATAATGTATTGCTGAGATTTGTAGTCCCTCTGCAGCCTGGAGTCAGTGGCAGAACTACCAGGGTGGCAGCGTTTGCAGCTGTGACTGGGCGTGGCACTCCGCCACTGTCCTAAAATCATTAGTCTTTATTGTTTTTGAAAAATTGTCACATGACACTAAAAAATAAAGTAATTGGTATCGGTGAGTACTTGACAAGAAGTATCAGTGCATCCCTAGTTGTATGTAAACGGTGCAATCATATTTGCAATGATGGACTATACCAGGTGTAGGCAACCTTGGCACACCAGCTTTGGTGAAACTATAAATCCCGTCATGCCTGTGGCTGTCAGAGCCTTGCATTGCCCCATGGAATTTTTAGTTTCACCGCAGCTGGAGCGCCAAGATTGCCTACTCCTGCAATATACACTGTGTACCGTGTAACATCTACCATACCTCCCAACTGTCCCTTATTTGGAACCAAATGCCTCTGCTTCCTCGGTTCTCCATCTTTTTGGTCTATTTAACTACCAAAAAAGTTGTTCTGCACTAAAACTTTTATCTTATCTCTTAATTAACTTGTTTAATATTTCAAAAAGACAGTACAGTTTAATATTTCAAAAATAATGGAAAAGTAATGGAGAAAATAAAACAATTCTAGTCTTAACCAATCATTTGTGGCATATAAATTCCTAATGTGTAACGTGCCCTCATTAGTGGCGGTATTACAGACTGGTACTGAAGATATGTCCTCTTTTAAAAGGGTGCAGACTCTTTCCTCATTAGAATACTGAAATGTTCTCAAGTGGTTATAATGAATGTAGACCCTTATGTTCAGAAATCAGTCTTGAAAGGACATGGTAAATCAAGGAGAACATAGAACGGTATGAATCTGCAGCAAAGTTTTCTGAATTCCTGTATATAGATCACCTTAGATATACTTTTGATTAGCAAAGTATAATCTCTCATTACTAAATATCCTAATTATCAAATATCCAATGCATTTGCATTTTTTAAGATGTTGGCAACTATGGCATTAAGGCATTTTTGAGGTGCATGATGTAAAAATCTGCAGGAGATTGAAACGCATGCTTGTATTTCTTTATGGCATAAGTTTTTTTTAATATCTAATGCCTTTCATGTGTTAATATAGGTATCTTGAGTTTTCATCATGTGGCTCCTCCTGCTGGTAGCTTTGGGTTTAATCTTTCTGTACAGATGGTACAAGTACAGTCTGATCCTGGACAATCTCACAGATAAATATGTTTTCATCACTGGATGTGATTCAGGATTTGGAAAACTGTTGGCTAAACAACTGGACAAACGTGGACTCAAGGTTCTGGCTGCTTGTTTGACAGAGATGGGAGCTGAAAATCTGAAGAAGGAGGCTTCCAGCAGGCTGCAGACAACAATACTCAATGTAACGAACACTGAAAGTGTGAGCTCTGCTGCCAAGTGGGTTAATGATATCGTCTCTGATCAAGGTGTGATATGCTAATATATATATTTGATAAGCTGTGTAGATCTGGCCTTATTCAGGAAGAGTGGTGGTTCTTAAATGCAACCAATCAAAATTGACTCTACTAAAGTGAGACCAGTGGTTGATCGATTCTAATTAGTTGGTCTGGGTGAGTGCAAGTAAGATTTCACTCTTTATAGGAATAAGGGTTCCCTTGGAAATTACAGGACAGTTGGATGACTGTACACAATCTTACCATTTTCATGGAATGGGAATAGTCAGAAGAGCCAAAATTAGGAAAATTCTCTTGGTCACAATTAGTGATGGGCTCGGGCGTGTTCGAAGCTCCACGTGCCGAGCCTGCCAGGAAGCTGACAGCGCTGCAGCGCCAATCACAGGTACTGAGACATTATCCCGCTCCGCAGCTGCAGGGAAATGTCTCAGTACCTATGATTGGCGCTGCAGCGCTGTCAGCTTCCTGGCGGGCTCGGCACATGGAGCTGCGAACACGCCCGAGCCCATCACTAGTCACAACAAGTTTATTCATGTGAATGCACATTTGAGGGACAGGAGATGAGCAGCACTGTTGTCCTTGACTGGTTGGTTTTTGTTTTTTTTATTTGTAGTGGGGAAGGAATGCAGGGGCATTGTACAGAGCTGACCGTTTAACCTGATGTCACCTAAACAGCCAGACTGTCTACATATCGGTTTAACTGAACAAACTGAAGAGAGAAGCTGATTGGTTGCCATGCACCACTGCTCCAGTTTTGATAAATTCCCCACATTGTATCTGTGGGTGTAAGCTAGGATGAAATGTAATTGAGTTAAGATGTCAGAAGGATTGGAAGACATGCTTTTATGTGCCTGAAAGCATTTCAGCCAGCCTCATATTTTGGGAAATCCACATTTACAAATTTTTGTAGGCTGGAAGCACTTGGGGCCTAGTGTATCCATGTGTCCTTTATGAGAGCTGGAGTCACCTCTCAGTCATCAATCAGCATCAGATCTGTCCTGAACCTAATTAATGGCTGTTGGGTAAAAAAATCTCCTGTTCTTGGTAAGAGCAGGGTGATATGAGGACCTTAACAGACATGGGGGAGATAGACATTTTGCATGAGTAAATCAGCTGCTTGGAAAGGCATTGTTTGAAGGCCCATTCACACTATTGTGGCAATGCACATTATGTATATTGATGCCCTACAGTGTCATTCATTTTGAATGGCACCCCAATGCGCCTCCACAACACACCTGTGTTGCAGCTAATCACCACACATGGTAACACACTACTGTGCATTGTTGTGGGCTGCATTGGAATAAATGGTATTTGGTTTTTGTGTATTTAGTTTTTTCATTCTGTGCATTCTGGTGCAATCCATTTAAATGAATGAGCTGCCTTAACACAATGCAGGTTAATGTGCAACATAACAGACGTTTCACAACTTCATATTCTGGTGCGGTTTGTATGGGCCCTTAAAGCTGGGACAACATGTTTGCATTCGGGTAACGTGGTGCTGCCCCATGCATGTGCACATGCACTATGCTTATGATTGGCACCCCAATGCCATAAGGCAAATGCTGCTGTGGCAGTTTGTGATATGTGGAATTTGGGCCACACTGGGGTGTGTTGGCAGTATATAATGCAACACTTGCCTCCCAAAGTGCTCTTCTCCAGGTTCAAAGTTCATGGTGTTGATTGGCCAGCCAGAGATGACCAAACTTCCATGCAGTCGCAAAGTAGTTACTTACTCCCAGCACATACAGCATTCAGAGAGCACTCCTGCATAAGCTGCTTTATGCACGATTAGAAAAAAAAAGTTAGTAGGCAAGGAAGCCTCTTTTGCCATAAAAATCCTACCTGGTAACATTTAAAAAAAAAAAAAAAAAAACCCTTTAAGTTTATCTTGAAGGATGTTATTCAACTGACTTCACCTGTAGAAACGGCATAATAGTGGTATCAAAGTTTTGCTTCTTCAGGACAGAGCTGCCTCCCTCATGACTGTTGGGTGAAAAATATCCAGAAAGCAGTAAGAAAGTTGCAGAAATCAAGGATCCACATAACCAATAAAGCAAAAGCAGGGAGATACTTGTACTGCATGTCCTCAGGTCCAGCTTCCCCTCCAGTAAGAAAAATCTTGTAAGATTAGCAATAAGACAGCAGTTCCTTAAATGAGCTCATACTGCAGATACACAGTTATGACGCTGAACAGGAATGCCTCAGCACAATCATATATAAAGATGTGCACTGCTGTTTTTCAAGAGGAAAATTGTACTTTTTTTTTTGATCACTGCATAGGCACAATTGGCTTTTCTATATGTTCCCTTTAAGAAAGCAGGCTTTCACTTTTTGAGGTTAGTTTTAAATCAGGGAAGCTGGGCTCCAATGTCCTTAAACACCTTTTCTGGTTTTTGTATAGAAATACAGAAAAAGGTAGTATCACCTCCC